TTTAATCCAGTTTGTAGTAGTATGGAGCGGTGGGAACCGCAATCAGGGCTATTGTTTTGAAGTTTAGTGTTGCATTTTATGATTATTGTTTGTGGTATATTACCTATGGAATATGATGACTGTAATCACAAAGTTAGTTAATTAACTTAGTTGACTTATTTTAAAAAGCGCATCAACATCATCATCAGCTGCCATCATCTCACACGGAGAAGGTTCGAGTATTAATCATCACGCTTGTTCAACGCGGGTTGGCGATTTCAAACTTATAATTAGAATATATTATAAGCCCAGGTTTCCTCACGATGTTTTCCTTCACCGTTCGTCAGTGGTATCTAAATAATCTTAGAAAGTACATGTAACTCGGAAAAAGTCACATTGGTACTTACTGTTGGTAGGTTTCGAACCGGCACCTATATGCATGAGAAGCGTCTGAAACTTCCAAACCACCACAACACCGAAATTGCAAATTAAATTTTATACGTTTTAACTTATAATAAAATTTATCAGACTTCAGGGCTTGTTTGTGACAAGCCCTGAGGTCTGAAGTCAATTAATTACGAGGCATTAATCAAAATCACGGGAAGATTAACTCACACATATTGAACAAAATTCGAGATTATATATCTAAAAGTCTAAAACACAATTAATTGATTTGGCAATTTTTTACCGGACTTTATTCTCACTGTACTTTAAAAACACACAAATTTAAAACCCCTCGTCGCATTTCCACAGACCGGGGCATTATCCCACTCACAGGGTGTATAAAAATCAATCCATAACAGTGGAATGCTAATCTATGGGCAACAATGGACGGCGGGGGATGATCCATCACACTATGTTAATATGGGAGCGATGGGGATGAGATGGGGCGACCATAGTGAGTGATTTTGAAGGGATACACAACTAAAATAGACAGAAATACGGTTTAATTCTTAGATTTTGTGATGTCGTGTTTAGATTTTGCGATATTTAAACCCACCAATATTTTTACTGAATGAAAACTGAACTTAGCTGACTTAAATGATATTTGGTTTCCTATTCAATTGGTCAACGATATTTCTGACACAACTGAAATAGAAGCTATTTAATAGAGATCTAATAAGTACATGCCCAATAATATAGAAGAAACTATATCACGTCTGTCACGTTTAGAATAATATAGAAATTTCTTTATCTCTTAAAAAATCTTGCAGACTTTCGTAAATTATGCGAAGATGTTGTGTAGTATTGTATAGGTACAATGGAATATTGTTATAGGTATTGCAAAAACTTTTTAAATTCATTTAAACTTTGCACTAGTTTCCAAAATGCTCTCTCACGAGTACACCCTAGTCCCACAGAGCGGTAATCCAATGATTTGCGTGACATCACCGCGCCCCGCCACTTACGCGCCAAGTTTACTGTTTCTACTACCATACAGCCTCACCCCAAACTTCAGTTTATAGACTGCGAGTAAAGCCTATAAGTCTATTGGAATGGGAATTTATTTTGAATACGTTTTAAATTTTTCGGTTATTTCGTGATCAAGTTTGAGTACGTAGTATTTTGGAACTGTATTTCTATTAAAGAAAATTGTGTTTATTTATAGATGAAGTTGAAGTCACAATTGGTTTATTAACAAATTAAGCGCCATTGTGGTGGACATTAGCGGAGGATTTGCCTTCAAAAGTTTTCTATTGGCAGTCAAAGCCTTAACTAGTTTTTTTATTTGTTATTGTGTCTCATACCTTTTAGAGTTGATATTTACTAAGAACTTTCTGTTCACAATAAGTAGGAAGACGCATACATATAATACACTCCTTGCATTCCCATTGGCATACAATGTAAAGGCTATATTTAAGGTTTACTAAAATAAAACTAACATTAACAAACATGCTTTTACAGACGCTGAATGGTAAGTTAACACAGTCCTTACCAGTTATTTTCATAAAAACATCGTTATTCGTTAAGTCGTTATTAGATATTAATCTTATGGATCTCTCAGATGTCCGAAATAAATTATTTTTAAATTAACTAAAATCGCGTGTTTCTCTACTAGTTTCGAATCACAGAGGGGTTCTTCCTCATGGGCAGCGTGCGCGGTCGCGTGAGCTCGCAGTGAAAGCAGCAACACTGATGCGACCGCCAAAGCCAGTCAGTGGGCTGCGCGACGATGCCGCGACCGCGAACCCCTCTATGGTTCGAAACTAGTAGAGCTTTTCTCAGTATTATCACGTGACAAACGATTTTAGTTAATTTAGTATGTCTCAATAAAGTTATTATAAAAATGATTTTTCTTTTATTTCATTTATTGTTAGTATAGGAAAGTTTAAGTAATCCTTATATTTCTCTAAGTACGGCAGTCCGATATTAAAACAAAAACAAATAGCACTCATCCACAATAATCTTTAAAAATCTAAGCCCCTATTTTCTCAAAGCATTCCTAGTAATTCTTCACTTGAAACTCAACAATCAATCTATTCAGTAGGGCACGACGTCGCTCGCCGGTTGTCTAACGCTCGGCCAAGCATGTGATTCGAGGGCACTGCGTTTGATGCGCTGCTATGTCAGATGTGAGTGGAAGTGACGGGGTATGTTGATGCATGAAGATGGGAGGCAGTGTATGGATTTGTGTAAAATTATTACAGGATCCATTTTGTTGACGAGTTTGGTTGGATTAGGCTTTAGGTTTGTCTGTTCCAGGTATGGTCGCTTGGCATGTTTGGAAAATTCAAAATAAACTCTAAACCAAATCACGTAGATATGAATTTTCATAATAATCACTATTTCTATGATATACCTACGCCTATTTTTCATTCTACTATGAAAGATTCTTATTGGGTTCTGAGTAACAGCTCACATAGGTACAAATTTGCACCAGTAATTCTGGTATGAACGAACAATATTTTTATTAATCTACATAGTCTTTGATACTTTCCAGTAACAAAAAAAAGAATAGGCAGAACAATCTCGAGTTTTCCCACCTCCGAGGACAAGAAAAAAAAAACAAGAAGCCAAATTTAAATTCCAAAACAACAAATTTAAATTCCAAACGCTCCACACGAATCTGAAGTCCACAGTTTTATGATCGGTAATTTCCGAGTATATCCGAGCATTTCCGATCGTCCCCTCCGCCCACGAGTGCGGTATCAAACAATTCAATTATGTCCTCAAATGTATCGGAATGATTGCCACCCTACCCGCATCAAATCTTGCGCCTATCGTATAAGATAGACTGTATGTTGGTATGTTTGCAAGGGTAAGATTTGAAGTGTGATTTTGGTGTTTATTTTAGGTAAATTCAGTTAAATAAAGGAAAAAATTGTATATTTAAAGATTGTTAGGTGCTTATAGAAACATTTCTTTGCTGATTTCTATATTAAAAATGGTAAGTTTTTGCCAAATATCAAACACAATTCCCGGTTCTGCGTCACACAAAGCAATGGGAAATTATCGTGACAGTCGTCACGTCATGTGTCGCGGAATACTGGATGGTCTCTAGGATGTCTCGAAATTAGTTGAGTTCCTCATCTAATAATTTCGTGAGTGAGCCGAAAAATATGTTAAATAATTTAGTATGTCTCACGAAAGTTACATATATATATGTATAGTTAATCTAAAATTATTTTTAATCACTTGGTAGATCAAGGAACCTTTCCAAAATTTTCAACCAATGACCAATTCTTTCTAGATAGTCTTTAAATGATTGACGTCGTCAATATCTTCAGCATAGGTCTTAATCTTCATCATCATCGTCACCCTGGTAGCTCTCCCTTTGTTCATCTCTTCTTACACATATGTCGTCTAAGAACGAACTTGATTTTACATTTTTACTTTATATATTTGCCGACTGTTACCGATCTTCCCCGACCTCACCCGAACCCCTCAGCAAACAATTCAATTACCGGATGAAATGTGTTGGAATAATAGTTCAGATACTCACAGTCGACTTAACATGACTGTACAGCGTTCAGTGTTCAGTCTAAGAGTAATTACATTCTTAAGCGATTTGATACAGTGAGTTAAATGACGGGTGGGATGGTGAAATTGATGGTTAAAAGTGAAGTATTTGTTCGTCCGTATTGGTGGGACTTAAAGTAGAATTCTTTTGGCAAGTTTTTATTGGTACAGAATATTATGTTTTCTTTTTAATTTGAAATTAACTCGATGCTACACTAAGACACGCATGTCCAAATGTCTCAATTGGGTAATTTTCTGGGTCAAAAATTTATTATTTTGATTTTTCAATCCAATTAAATATTCAAAAATAATTACAATTTCGTTCATATATTTGACGATATACTTAAAATTCGATTTATTCTAGCAATATTTTCAGAAATAAGTGTGCTGTTTGACTCGGAAATATAATGACGTCATAAGTTAGTTTTTGGTGGAAAATTCATAGAACAATAACGTTTTTGACGTTTCGATAAAAGTATTGAATTTGATTAGTGGTAAAATACCGTATTGTCTAGAGTTCAGTGTAGGCTAAACACTTGAACCTTAACTTGATTGCCTAGAAGTGGGATTGCCTTCGTGACTGACTTTTATGTATGTACCTAAAACTACAATATCGAAAAACTTCGCTGTCGATAAGACAACTATTACTTTTCCACGATTAATTTAAACAATTTAGTCTCGACAATACCCAAGACCATGTGTTTCCTGAAGGGCACAACCTGAGGTCTTAAAGGCTCAAGTTAATAATTTACTTAAATTGATGTGCTCCATCGTAGCTTCTACTATCTTCACTTCTAATTTTTTTTTATGTTGTTGCCGTTCAAACGTGCCGTCTTGCCTCTTGGTCTAATTGAAATAAATGATTTTGACTTTGACTTTTCCGTATCATTGCACACTATCAGGCGAGATAGTGGCCCATCGAATTTCAAAAAGGTCGATACAAATATTCTAAATTCCATATATACATAAGCGCTGCCCATAAATATATACAACTCCAACTGTATACAACATTCTATATAAGCAATCCTGCACCCGCAAAAACAGACTAAGGTAGTACTTACCAGTTTTGACCTGGTACTTGAGTGCCAGCTTGCAGTCCTCGAGCAGCTGCTTCAGCGGCAGAGGCTCCTCGTGCAGCTGGAAGTCGCACATCTTGCTCATCTCCTCCGGCATGCGGAACTCCAGGATCTGAACGACGGAAGGAAACATGAATTTGTAATTTTATACAAATATCATTTTTGATTGCCTCTAGCTGAATATAGCTGAAGCTGATTGCAAAAGTTTCTTATAGGAGCTTATTTTGGCATATCTTTCATATATCTATACTAATATAACTTACAGCTTACAGCTTTAGCTGAATAGTTTGTTGTTTTGTTTGTTTGTTTGAACGCGCTAATCTCCGAAACTACTGGTCCGATTTGTCCGATAAATTAAATTCTGAATTTCTTAATCGTTTCCTACCAATCTCGTTGTGTATAACGTTCCAAGTAGCTTTTATCTTATCATCAGCTGCTTTTATTTTAGGAGATAGATCTCCTAGGAGAAAAGATAGCTACTCCAAGAAACCCACCTTCTCATTCCTGTCGTTGACCTGGTGGATGAAGTCGAGCAGTACATCCACGACTCTCGCCAGGAACTCCCGCGTCTGAGGCTGCGCGTCCTCGCGGTATGGGAGGATCGCTGTGGAGGAGGGTAGCGGTTAGTATCATGGTTGTATTTTAAGCTAATTTTTTTATAATAACTATCGTGAGACACTAAATTAACTAAAAATCGCGGGGTACTCACGTGAATATACTGAGAAAAGCTCTACTAGTTTCTAACCACAGAGGGGTTCTTCCTCATGAGCAGCGTGCGCGGTCGCGACGATTTCGTAGTAGGCTGCGCGAAACTAGTAGAGATTTTATCAGTGTATTCACGTGAGTAACCCGCTATTTTAGTTAATGATGCATTTTTCTTCACTTCAATGTGCCAAGGAAACAAAGACTACAGAAAATTCGGAAAACACGAGCTGTCAAAACAAAAATCTTCATCTTCCCTATTTCGAAGTCCTGTCAAAGGGCAAGTAATCATTCAACGAGACAATACCTTGACTGATCAACGTGCAATACACACATACACTTCAAACATTCCACCACGAACCTTAACACCTCTACATAAGATTTAAAATTCATTTTCCGAACGGCAAATGTATCTTTGTCTGCTCATAATATTGAAAAAAGAATGCTAAAGGTATTGTTTGCAGAATTGCCCATGTGTTGTGTTTATACGATATTGTGCTTTGTTGTATTGGTGTAGGGTTCAGATTTGTATGGGGCTGGTGTCGTTGTGTATAAATTGTAGACATCTGTGCTTAACGTGCAATATGGCGAGACGTGGGGTAACCATGACTTGAGGAAAATGTTACGTAATTCCCGAAGGCCGATTTTGATACAGACTTTGGTTAACTAAAAATCGCGGTTACTCACGTGAATATACCGAGAAAAGCTCTACTAGTTTCGAACCACAGAGGGGTTCTTCCTCATGAGCAGCATGCGCGGTCGCGGCGATGTCGGGCAGGCTACTCCTAACTTTGTATGTGTGTATAAACTAATTTAATATGTCTCACGATAGTTATTATAAAAATATATACTGGTTGTTTAAATACGAATTTAACAATAATTTCATGTTTTAAAAAACAATTCTAGTCAACGCCAAGCAAGAAGTTTAAAATTGCAGTTTCGAGTTATCAATATAAAAAGTATCTTTTCCATTAATATTATGTTGTTTCTATTTCGAAAATGGAAAAGATTATTATTATTCTGTTTCTATTTTATATTTATAGCAGAACCGATAAAGATTATTTAACAATTTTAACATGTAAAATAATTAAATAAATATACCAAAATTACGACTGTCTCACAATCTACCAAAATCCTAGTCACCCTACTCCCAGGAAAATTCCTGGACATAGGGGCTCTGGATATTAAAAGCAGTGATTTTTTAATCAGAGCCCCTTTGTAACGCAAGGGGGTAAGCACAGATGTGTGAGGAAGAGGTTCAACTTGGTCGGTATGAGTTCGAACTACGATTAATGTTTTTTTAGACATAAACAAAATTCAGTATTGTATTTTTTTTAATCTTCTGAATATACACAGTGCCTAGATAAATTTTCAAAATTTGTTGAATCTAATCTGACTAAAATAGATTTCTTTTTTATTTATATTGTCAATTCTGTTGGCTACATAACCTTAACATAAGTACGCTTAACCGACTAGCATGCATGAAAAGACTGATGACTGTTGATGAAGCGAAAGAGGTATGTGATTCGTAGTAATTGGCGTTCCATAGTCTCTGCCTACCCCCATGGGAGACAGGCGTGAAGTTATGTATATGGTAGTAGCACGGAGCCTGGAATTGTGCCCGGTATATGGCGATAGACTCACCCCCTGTTAAATGGGATTCATAAACATAAAAATAGTGAAAAGTGGGTGTTACATTGTACAGTGGCATTAAGTGCCGTAATGTGCATTTCTGCCTACCACTTCGAGGATAAAAGGCGTTATGTATAACAATATATACAGATTTACAATTCATTACGAGTTCTGTCAGCCCTTACATTTTAGTTTCTAATATTACTTCGTAGCACAAAACAAAAGTACTGGTAAGAAAAAGTATCAAAAATATTACACACGTAAGTACCAACTCGGGAATCGAACCTAAAGAATGCGACAAATACTTTTAACTAAGCAAATAGCCCTCTGTCCTGTAATCCCTCTCAGACACCATTTACCAGTCACTTTCAGTGCCTCTCAGTGACCCTCAGCAACCCTCACCGACACTCAGTATACGCATCACTTGTTAATATTTGTCAGTATGTCTGTTGCATACGTACTGTAGTATAGACACCCTTGCAAAGAGAATTTCGTTATATTTAATTGTTCAGTTATGATATTTTAGTGAATAAAAATAAGATTATGTGATATTACTAAACTGTTTTTATTGAATTTATTAGACACTAGTGTCGTGGTGGATCGAAGGTGTATACGCCCGCTTCTCATGCATGAGGGTGCGGGCTCGAAACCTACCAACGGCAAGTACCAATGTAACTTTTTCCGAGTTATATGTACTTTCTAAGATTATCTAGACACCACTGACAAACGGTGAAGGAAAACATCGTGAGGAAACCTGGGCTTATAATTTCTAATTATAAGTTTGTAATCGCCAACCCGCATTGAGCAAGCGTGGTGATTAATGCTCAAACCTTCTCCGTGTGAGAAGAGGCTTTGCTCAGCAGTGGGCATTTATAGGCTGTTGATGATGATGATGATGATGATGATGATGATGATGACTAATTGTGCCTTATCACATATATGTCATGGAACTTGAAAAATGTTAGAAGCGATGGAAGTTTGTATTAAGGTAACACTGTTTTGAAACTTATAGATCTGCTTATAGAGGTCTTTAAAAACCATACAGATAAATGGCATGGGTAATGGACCTATCTTAATGCCACTGTACAATGTAACACCCACTTTTCACTATTTATGTTATGAGTCCCATGTAATAGGGGGTGAGCCTATTGCCATATACCGGGCACAATTCCAGACTCCGTGCTACTACTGAGAATTTTTTTAAAACGTAATATTTTTGCCCGACCCGGGAATCGCAACCGAGACCCCTTGCCCGGCAGTCGCAGTTGCGACCACTCGGCCAACGAGGCAGTCATATCTAAAAAAAATGGTAGAATAAATCGAAATATAAGTACATCAATATTAAATTGGATTGAAGTATCAAAATAATTTATTTTTAAACCAGGAAACTGCCCAATTATGATATTTTTATACTTGTGTGACAAAAATAATATGTGAAATTACTAAACTATTTTTTACACCAAACACTTCAATTACAATATTCAACCATTCCACCACATATAAAAGCGTAATCCTTTGGAAATCACTCTGTATCTATAATCCTACAATTCCCACGCGGGGTAAGCAGGACAGTAGCTAACATTAAGCACACAGTTCAAGTTATAGATAACCAGTATAATCTGACCGTCGAAGGTCCGCAAAGGTCATATAAAGCGGGACCATGATATATTGGTTGTGGATAGCTGTCTGTGCATTCCCCAGCCATTTGAGTCTACCCTCATCAACAATATATTAAAAGCCCTTTATGTCACTCTCAGGCTAACATCCTCTCAAACACACCTACAAAGAAAACACAACCTTAAAATGCCAACAACAGATATCACTTTCCCGTATTTATATTCGAGGGAAAAATTTTGTTATAGTTCGAGGGAATTTCAACCTTAAAGCGTTGTGGTTAAGGCATGTTTTGTAATGTTAGGCTTAATGTTAAGTGTAAGTACTTTCAATAGTATTTGCGAAGCACTACATCGCATTCCAGATGTTATTTGTTGACAATTTTAGTTCAGCGTTTTGCTAAAGGAATTTCAGCTTTATCTCTTCACAACAAGGGTTATGTTAACTGCACATAATAAGTGGTTGTGTTTCGCCAACAATTATAATTGAACGTTAAGGTAAAGGAATTTAGACTGTATCTCCTTTGTAATAAGGCTCATGTTAAGTGCAAATAAAAGATTGTTATGTGTTTCGGTACCAATTTTTATAGCAACCAAAGTTAAAGGAATTTAGACTGTATGGCCTTTACAATAAAGGTTAAGTTAATAGCAAATAAAATGTACAGTCGTGAAAATTGCTGTGAAAATATGTTTTGTCGTTATAAGCTAATTATTGTCGGTGATTGTACCTCTACACATCTAGGTATGCAAACCTAGTATTTTTTTACGGGATCGGTAAACGAGTAGACGGATCACCTGATGGTAAGCAATCGGCGTCGCCCATAGACATACGGAACACCAGAGGCGTTACTGGCCTATTGGGATTAGGAATTTGAGGATTGTTGGGGATTCAGAGATTGCAGAGAGAGTGGGGGGGGGTGGTAATTGGGCCTCCGGTAACCTCACTCACAATGCGAAACACAACGTTGTTTCACGTCGGTTTTCTGCTGGGCCGTGGTATCACTCCGGTCGAGCCGGCCCATTAGTGCAGAAGCATGACTCTCCGACACTTACGGTAAGTACGGTACTGACTATGCTTATAACTTGTCAAAACTCCAAAAACGACCTCCTACCCGACATTACGTATAATAATATATTTCTCTCGAAAAATGTGTGCTATTTCAATTAGTAAGACCGCGGGTAACCCTCCATCGCCCGCGTGCAGTAAACACAGGCGGCGGGTGAGCGCTCGGGACGTTTTGAGCCGCCCGGTAATGACCCGGTCTTATACTCGATCCCTTATTTGTGAGGATCACTGAGCCTCGGTTGTGAAGAGAGGAATAGGCTACTTATTGATATTTTGAGAAGAAATTAGTATCGATAAGTTGGAGTTTGCTACTACGAGTTATATTGACCAGATTGGCGATATATTAAAGAAGGGCCAAAATAAAAGTACCCTTAACCGACGAGCATGCATAAAAAGATTGATGACTGTTGATGAAGCGAAAGAGGTTTGTAGGAATCGTAATGTGCGTTCCATAGTCTCTGCCTACCCCCATGGGAGACAGGCGTGAAGTTGTGTATATATATTGCCAACTTTACGAATTTGTTAATCGAACTTTTTAATGTAATACATTATTAGGCAATAATGAGCTTATTTCTGATGAAAACATTAATATTATTAAATCTCGTAAGCTATCATATTTAACACTCGGTTTAGGAGTAGGATATCTTTATAATACACTAATTATTGGTATTTTAAACCAATAACCAACATTCTAACAAGAAAATAACACTCAAACCAAACAAAAACCCACTCCACATAAAAAAACAAAGAAAAATACACAAAAAATATTCTATTTCCACGAGTGAATCCCTTAATACCCCGAGTCTATCAATTGTAGCCGGCGAGCTAACGGATAGGCCATCTCCTTCAATGTGGCGTATAGATGGGCTTTTAATACCTCTCGAAAAATGAAGACCGATTATTAATGGCCGGCTTAAGATCCTGACAGGGCGGTAATAAAGAGAATTTAGATTTTATGAGTTTAATTTGTTTGAGGGTATTCATGGGTACTTTCGGGTCGCTCCGGCTGGTTAGGGTTGACTGAGATTGGTTATTGTTTGTGTGATAGTCTGTTGTTTTAGAGAGATGCAGGTGTTGTGGTATTTGGGAATTTATATAGAGGTATAACCTCGACATTTGTTGTTTCCTTTTAATTTAGTTTTGTTAGTTGATAAACAACATACTTATCAAATAATATGATTTCCTCAAAATGATACAACCACTGGTGGTAATTGAGGAAATGCATTTATTTCAATTTATTAATTAAGACTTTGGTTCCTTTTAAATTATTAAACATATTCTGCACTAATACCGAAAATTTGAGAAATCGAAACACCAATAAGACTTCTCTAATCACACTCAGCAATAGTTACAATTTACACTGTAAGAAATAAAACGGAACCTAATCAGGCAACCAACACAACACACTCACTCATCTTAAAAACAGATTTAAATAAAACCAACATTAAAACACAACACACAAGCGCAATATTGTCAAAACCAATATCCAACCCTAAACCAACCGTGGGTGGGTCGAATGGACCACCGCCACACAATAGCATTACATCGACTTATGAACACTATCCCGATTTATCAACACAAACATACGAACAGTGGAATTTTTAATTAAATTCCTTGCAGCGGCTGTAAAACGCAGCTGTGCATTGTTGCTCAATATTGGGCACGCGCGTGTAACTAATCGCGGTGAGGGGGTTCGCTTCCCGGTCGAGGGATGGGGCTGAAGGTCCGTGAGATGACAATAAGTCACTGATATGAATGAGAGACTCTTGAAATATGTTTTAGATAATGTCTGGTGGGGATTTTTGTATGGTTTTGATATGTTAAGACTTTGAGAGACGACTTGAGTTCAAAGTATAATTATTATTATTATATTGATGGTTTGCTATTCCGTGTGTGTCTTTACGCTTTTATTTTATTTCAAATTTTACAAATTATTTTGAGAACTTTAGAAAAATGACTATTTATCAGTGTCAAATATCAATCAAAAACAGAAAGTGTGATAAGCAGTTCACAATCCGTTGGTTTGTAGATATTTTTGTAGCAATATTGAATAAAAATATCCTACTTCCCAGCCAAATCACTACACCCCCGACATCAGTGATATTTTCTGCGTATATTATTATACGGCATAATAAAAAGCAACGTTGGTGCGTATAGACCCCGGTCGCAAAAGAGGGTTGAGCATGAATCGTTGGACCAAATTATTTGTAGTAGAGATGCCGAGAATATTAAACAAATATTTTGGTATTTTATGTAAGTATTGGATAGATTGATGAACCAACAAAACTATGTAACTAGAGAATTGTATTGTGAACCCGATTGAAAAAGAGTAACCTATGGAGTTTCTTGCTCGTTCTTCTCCATAGGAATCTACATCTGAAGTGAGCTTCACTTTTAATTTTTTTTTGACGTTCAAAAGTGAAACAAATGATATTGACGTAGACTTTGACTTTGACGTTAACATATTTTGTTAAATAGGTTTTTTTTTGTGTTTTTATAGAATATTTGCGTAAAAAGTAAATGAGCAGATCGAATAAAATTGCGATTAACACCGCCTCTTACAACCGCAACACCAGAGGAATTAAATGCAGTGGCATTTAAATTAAAGAGCCACTGGTAATCAACTCATACGGCTTTTTACATATAGTGTCACACCAGTATACTGTTACTCAGGTCGATCTATTCGTGTTGTGCATGCATCTCAACTACGGTTTTACACTGTTAGTTACTCAATGCGCATGCGAGCACACGACCTACAAAGGCAACAGAGACCAGCGCCGCCCTTTCTCTACCTCCATCTCTCCATCTGTCACACGCATGCCATCTACCGACGGTTTATAGGAAGTATACATCAGACATGATCATCTACCCTTGTAATATGACACTTAGGGCGCGCGCGTCATTTCCGTCGGCCGGAAGAGGCGCCCTTTATCTCGTCGGAGGAAGCAAGATAAGACGCCAGTGGTTAAGTTTTAATCAGTAAGGATTTATGATTGTGATGTCATTTTTGTTATGATAATCTAGGTTGGTAGACTCCGTCGTAAATCAGACTCGAATTGGATGATACTTCTCTTTTTTATGCAATAGGCAAACGAGCAGAAGCATCACTTGATGGTAAGCAAATGAGCGTCGCCCATGGATACCCGCAACACAAGTGCTTTGTCGGCCTATAAAGAGTGAGCAATCATTTTTTTTATACCACGACGCTGGCAAAAAAAGCTCACGGCCCACCTGATGGTAAGCAGTTACCGAGGCCTATGTACACTTGCAACACTCGGGACATTACATGCGCCTTGACAACGCTTGAAAAACCTATTCACTCCCTTCTTGAAGAACCCCATATTGTAGTCATGTTTGCATTCACTCGACAGTCATTTATTTTTCAATAACTAAAATATTAGCCTGATATTATGTATACTATTACAAATCAATAACCATTCAATCAATCATATTAAGTGTGGAGAGCCATGCTTCGCCACGGCCTCACAGAACACCGGCGTGAAACAACGCTTGCGTTGTGTTTCGTCGTGTGAGTGAGGTTACTGGAGGCCCAATTACCCTCCCCTTCCCCAATCTCTGCAATCCCTGAATCCCCCAACGATCCTCAAACTCCTAATCCCCAAAAGGGTGGTAACGCACTTGTAACGCTTCTGCTGTTCCAGGTGTCTATGGGCGACGCCGATTGCTTACCATCAGATGATCCGTCTGCTCGTTTACGTATATGTCATAAAAAAAATTCGGTTCTAAGTTAAAAAACGTACAGACGAATTGAAAGCCTCTTCTTGTTTTGACGTCGGTTACAACCAGCTAAATCTTCCTAATTGTAAATGCCTTTTCAACACAAAAGCTGAATGTGTTCGCAGTAATTAATCAAGTGGTTTAGAATATGGCCGCGTCATGCTGCCATCAATTAAAGTGCAAAGTTCGTTTCCATGTTCAAAGTGTACGGGATTAATTGATTAAGCTATTCATTGGAAGTCAAAGTCAAAATAGGTATTGCAAAATAAATAACTTAGAGACACTTTTGAAATTACTAAATTAATTGCAATATTAACTTGTTAGTAAAAATACTTACCTACCCGATACAAAATGTGTATCTCGTGGTGGCCAAGAGATTAAGATGACCACTTCCATGTACGGTTTCGAAACCTACTCTTATACAGCAGTTCCATATTAAATCTTTCTTGAGACATACACAATGAATTATTATGTTTTCGGCTCACTCAAGTTACCTACGACACACGACACGGCGACTAGCAGCGCGACAGTCACGCAAGTAAGCCGAAAACATAATAATTAAACAAAAATGTCTTCGAAATAGTAACTTTCGCTTTGTAAAAGTATTGTACCGTACCTATAATATTTCCTCCTATATCATAGAGAGTATAAACTAACAAGTAGACAGAACATAACATCACGCCTTTTATCCCCGAAGGGGGGGCAGAGGTGTACATTATGCCACTGTACAATGTAACACCCACTTTTCACTATTTATGTTATGAGTCCCATGTGATAGGGGGTGAGCCTATTGCCATATACCGGGCACAATTCCAGACTCCGTGCTACTATTGAGAATTTATAAAAACTTGCCAGACACGGGATTCGAACCCGAGACCCCTTGCCCGGCAGTCGCACTTGCGACCACTCGGCCAACGAGGCAGTAGACAGAAGTAAAAATAGAAAAGATACTCACAATCGTAGTACAGGTTCCCGACGGATGAGGTCAGCTTCGGAGTGCCCTGCCCGGATAGCGACGCCATTCTCTCCCCCTATACACACAAATATACATTAAAATACTATTTTACATGCATAACATAGCAGCATAGATCGAAAATGTTAAAAAAGCTGCCAAGATGGCGCTGCAGTCGTTTTGGCGTAGTGACGAAAATAGAGTATTAATACAACCACCTGATTAAGATTATTTTCTCATTTCTAGTTAGGCTAAAATATTTATCACCGTTGGATAGTATTTTATCTAATTACCGACACCAATATGAACTTTTATTACGTAATATAAATTGCAATAGCCATCGTCTCTATTATTAAGCTGAATTATTATTTCAAAAGTTATACACAGCTTTATATAATAAAACATAACATTTGCGTAATATATTGCATTGAATTACATTTTTAAATATTTGGTTCCCATTTACAAGCGACTTATTAATATTCTTAGATACTTACTGTAATCTAATGTTGCTATAAATAAAGATTATATTGCTACTTAAACTAAAACCAATACCAAAGGAAAAATTAAAACAACAGAAATAATGATTACCTAAATGGGCTGACACATTAAAATAATAACTATTTAAAAACCAAAAACAGCATTCTTAGATTACCGTCAAAAAGCTAGAAAAATCGAAATAATGAAAATAAAATTATAAGATAAAAACAAAAAACCATGCAAAAATCTAAAAAAAAAACAAGAAGGTATGATTAAAAAACATAAGCTATACAACATAAGATAACCATGCATCAGCATTCAAATACAAATAAAAAGTCATGCACAGAGAACAAAGGGCGTGTCAAAAAACCAAGATGGCGGATTATAATAGATGGAAATATTGAACGAACCAATTGTATATGTTCTGCTATTTGCTTGCAGTAGGAAAAAAAGCCGTCCAAACTCAGCTTTGACATTTTTACTATAACTTCTATAAAGTTCTGTGAACAGAGAAAAAAGAAATACGTTAATGATTCTGACACTACCACAGTACATTGTTGCCAGAATAAAAAAATATTTTATTCTAAGTAGAATTATTTTTTTTTTGGTAACTTTTCGCCGACGGCAAGATTTTTTTATCATCATTCAAAATCGTACGTTTATAAAAATGAGCGAAGAGAAATGTAATGCAGATGTTGCTAGAACAAAAAAAATAGAAAATCAAAATACTAAAAACTACCGAAACTAACGATTTTATATAAAAAAAAAACTATTCAAAAACGTACCTTTACAACGGCTCCCACAAAAAACTACTTGTAAGATATATTTTTAGTTGAAAAACAAATAACTATGTGCCTCAAACCGAAAATATATTTATTGAAATACAAATCGCGAAGTACTGAATTAGGATTTATCATATATGTAAGAGAAATTTTTGTAAGGGGAACAATTTCAGCCTGAAAGCTGAACGGTTGGTTCTACGGTTTTAGGCAGACTGAAATCTGGGCTGTAGGAGGTTCCAGGGTTGGTGGCTCGCGCATGCGCGGTTTAAAGGTCGTGGGGGGTGACATTTGGGCCAGATGGGGGTGGGGGCTGGTCAATATCGAGAATCAGGTCATCATAGTGGGCGTAGGTCTCTCATGAACGAAGCGCTAGGTAATATAAGGTGATTTGTTTCAGGTGCTGTAAAAGGCTGAAGTTTTGAAGAATTTCTTATTTATAGATGTAATAATACTATCAAACCTGAAATTAACAATCGGTGTGCTTGTGTGTGGTATCACAGTGACATTTGGTGAATATAAAGCGTCTAGCTTGTCCCTTTAGGAATAAGGGGCGTGTTATTCCTATACATGTAATTTTTTAATTACAAAGATAATCCATACAGAACTACAAATCCTTTGTTTTAGAGGCGACATAGGTATCACTATTAAATTGGGATTTGGATTATTTGGATAAGATCTCTCAATATGCTTTTCCCCGAAGGAGCTGGCAGAAGTGTAAGGTACACGTTACTACGTAAACATAAATACACTACGTATCAATTATGACTGACAGACAGGCGACTAGCACTTTACTATTATTGTTTTTTTAACATAGTGCATTGCCTATTTAAAAAAAAGAGGAAGCTATCTCCATCGTCGTATTCTTATTTATCTAAACGGCGATACAACATGGCGATTTACAGTGATGCTTATTTTATGTAATAAAGTTTAAATTTCAGAAAAAACATACTTTAGAAACGACATAGATTTTGTAAAAAACACATTACATTCTTATGAATAAAATGTGAAATATTCTCAAACGAAAGAATAATATATTATTTATGATTATATCTATGGGCCATAGTTGCCTGATGATAGAGGTTAAAATAAATAAATAAATTGCACACATAACGTACAGAATTTACAAAAAAAAAAAAACAAATTCGTAATTGATTAACATTCGTAGCAAATGCTCGTAGCGCGTCGTAGCGTTTCGTAGCAAATCGCGTAGGCGTGCGTAGCGGGGTAATACTTTTACAGGATTACATTGTATGCCTGAAACGTGGGTGTATCGTAGGCGGATGTTGTAGGCAGTGTTGTAGGCTATAACTTATGACCTTTGGGGGCTGTGTGGGTGTTGTATAATGGGGGTATTTACTACGGAGTTTCTCTACAGTTGCATTTTAATCGATATAAAAGTTTTTAGGTATTATTTTTTACCAATTTACATAAAAATTGAGCCTTTATTATTAAGGTTTACAATTTTCAAAGTCAAAGTCAAAGTTATTTATTTCAATTAGACCAGAAAGGCACTTGTAAACGCCAACAAAAAAATTAAAATTAAAGCTATTTGCTCATTCCAAGGTGTAGATTCCTATGGAGAAGAACGAGCAAGAAACTCCATAGGTTACTCTTTTTCAATCAGGTTCACAATTTATAATTCAATCGTGCCTCAAAAGGCCTCCTCCAAAGATTTCCAATTTTCCCTATCCCTCACAATTCTTATCCACTCTGGTCCAGCAGTTCCCCTTGGGTCATCTTCCTAACGCTTTGGTTGTCGCCCTTTGCTCCTTTTCCCATCTCTGGGGTACCATTCTGATATTGTCTTTGTCCATTTCCTATTCCTCTCTCTTATCATATGCCCTGCCCATTGCCATTTTATTGTTTTAAATACCCCTAAACATCCCTGCATATTAAAATTTTATTATTTCCTAATTTACATAATATCAGGTTAATATTACACTGAATAGGTCCCGAAACCCCTTACATGTAGAGGTCGCCACTGTCGCTATTGATTGTCCTAGATACTGCACGAGCTGCAGCCGGAATTAGGTCAGGCGCGCCCCAATACCGACTACTCTAACTGCTGTATGTAATGATTTATTAGAGTCCTAATTTTAACTGAGTAAATAGAAATATATTTTAAAAGACAGTGATTTATGTCTTTTGTTACTCATGACTGAGTGACTGACAGACAAAAGTACAGCCGAAAATATTTCTACTTGAAAGAAAAACGTTTACGAATGTTTCTTCTGGTTATAGAAAAAATATGATTTTAAATCAAAATAGTATTTATTTCTTTTTTTAAATAACTATCGTGAGACATACTAAATAGCTAAAAATCGCGGGTTGTATAGGCAATGACAGCACCACCTATGCTATCTGAAATTATTTCTAGATAGAACATCTTTAATCAAGTTTTGGAACGTTGCCCAAGTAGGCTGTACGTTAGCTGATGACCTCACAACCTCGTTCTAAGTTAAGAATTCCAGCCTAGATATAAATCTAGCGTTGCCTTAAACAAATTATGTTTGATTAAAAGCTCGGTTGGGAGTTTCTCACAGCTGTTTAGTACTCTATTTAATGGTTGGTTAACAAGCTTGATTTCGATGTACCATTTAACTGCTTATAATAAATTGGAAGTGTCTCTTGTTGAATTCTCGGTCAGACGTTTGTTTTGCGTTTTTCTCGTAGCTTTCTTCCTCGCACAGCAAAACTGTGGAATGATCTGTCGTCGGCCATATTTCCGAACCGATACGACCTACAAGCCTTCAAGAAAAGAGCGTACTCCTTTTTAAAGGGCCGGCAACGCACGTGTTGTTGGTGTCCATGGGTGGCGTTGATAGCTCACCATTAGGTGATCCGTCTGCTCGTTTACCGTATTACCGCAAAAAAAAAGTTACAACCATTTTACCGGGTGTTATTACGGGGTAATTGGGTCTCAGATAACCTCACTCACACGACGAAACACAACGCTTGCGTTGTTTCACGTCGGTTTTCTGTGAGGCCGTGATATCACTCCAATCGAGCCGGCTCAGTCGTGCCGATGCATGGCTCTCCCATGCTTACATTGAATAATAAGCCAAAGAGTCACATAATGTGACACTTCGATGATAAAAAAGACATGAAAAAGAACACAATATGTACAAAAAAAACTTTAAAAACAAATCCTTTACAATTTCATTTCTACATACATACATGGAGCCGATGGAGACAATTTGTCCCATCCAGAGTGATGCCAACATAATCACGATCCTCAGTCATGAGGGAACGACCAGAGAGAGACATACAAATATACACTATAGTAAAATCCCCCTACGTCACATTAAGAGGTATGATACACTATGTTACATTATGTCCCTCGCCTACGCATTAACCATTTTTTCGCATGTCTTTTGTTTTATCCGAAAAACCCACAGCAGAACGAACTATACCATTGCCAATATAGTGTAGTTAATTTTCAACCTTATTATAAGAGCAGTAAAGTTTACAATGGTTTTGTAGCGTGGTGTAAGTTGATGTGCGAATTTACATCTAGGTTATACATCTTTTGTTTTACCAGCCAGCACTACAAGCTACATCATTTTCCCAATACAATGTAAGTAATTTTCAACCGTTTAACAAGGGTGTAAAGTTTATAATGCTTTTGCAGTGTGATATACCTTGATGTGCGATTTTGTATGTAGGTGGGAAGGTCCATTTTTCTTTGTAATAGCGTACTCGTATAAATGGATGCCGAGTGTTACAAAAGGGCACAGTTAATGCGCATTTTTTCGCCTCTTTTTTGGGACATTTTCGTCTCTATTTTTATGTTAGGAAATCCTAGCTTATGCAACTTGAATGGGTGGGTTTGACCGGGGTAGTATCACCCTTTCAACGTATACCAGTACATTATAGAAATCATATTTTATTTCTATCGTGCCTCCATGCTCCTTATATTACGAAAAAAACAGTTTTTTTATGGCATAAGCCGGTAAACGAGCAGACGGATCACCTGATGGTAAGCAATCGACGCCCATGGACACCTCGAACACCAGAGGTGTTACAAGTGCGTTACTTGCCATTTGGGAATTAGGAGTTTGAGAATCGTTGGGGATTCAGGGATTGGGGGGATTGGGGAAGGGGAGGGTCATTGGGCCTCCGGTAACCTCACTCACACGACGAAACACAACGCAAGCGTTGCTTCACGTCGGTTTTCTGCTCGGCCGTGGTATCACTCCGGTCCAGCCGGCCCATTCGTGCCGAAGCATTGCTCTCCCACACTTAAACGTTAAACTAATACGATAAAGTAGCATAAATAACGTGATCAGGCATCCTGTTTTGAATGGGACTGCGCCTTTTTATAATTACGAGTCCTGTTGTCCCCGAAATGAAATCTGGGACGCAAAATTGTCTCATTTTCAAACTTCTGTTACGTACTGGAGGCTCGAAGTCCACTGATGGACTGACATAGACAGTTGATACAGTTGTACTGTCATTGTTGAAGACAGTTCATTAAAATACATACATACAAACCTTCACGCCTGTCTCCCATGGGGGTAGGCAGAGACTAAGGAACGCCAATTACTACGATTCTTACATACCTCTTTCGCTTCATTAACAGTCATCAATCTTTTCATGCATGCTCGTCGGTTAAGGGTACTTCATTAAAATAGTAATATATAATAAGATAAAAGTTTAATAGATAACGGTTTACGGGTAAGTAGTAGTTCAAACCTTCAAGAAAAGAGCGTATTCCTTTTTAAAAGGCCGGTAACGCACCTGTGACTCCTCTGGTGTTGCGGGTGTCCATGGGTGGCGCTGATCGCTTACCATCAGGTGATCCGTCTGCTCGTTTGCCTCCATAAAAAAAGTGCTGAAAATCAGTGCCGCGACTCGAGCTATTGTGCTCGGATCACGGCATTTAAGCTGAGCTCTGGACTTTTTGCGGCGTCTTCACTGTTTTTTTTATCTTTTTTTTGTGTTGTTGTTTTTTGTGACGCTGTGCAAATAAACCAATTTTCTTTCTTTCTATAACAAAATACCTAAAATTCTCTAACAGAAATTTCCTTTAATAAATATTTAATTTTTTTTTTTTCATAAATTTTTCAATTCACGAAGTGGAATGAGGAGGTATTTAAATATTAGCAAAAAAAAAATAAGTTGCTAAGATCTAAAACTCGTTAACGGTTCAAATATTTCAGTTGAAATATTTCTAACAAATATTTGTCAAAAATTCTTTATTAGAAAAAGTAAGAAATATAGACAATATTGTTTTCCAAATAATATGAATCCTTTAAAATACCTGAAGACAAATTCTTTCGATGTAAAAATTTCAGGAGTCACAAAAAATGTAACGATGTCGTTAGGGTTGCTAGATGTCATTATAATTCTATTTTACGCTAATTGTTAAATGTAATGGTTTAACATCCCCGAAGGGGTAGGCAGAGGTGCAAATTACGGCACTTAATGCCACTGTACAATGTAACACCCACTTTTCACTATTTTACATTATGAGTCTTATGTTATAGGGAGTAAGTCTATTGCCATATACCGGGCAAAATTCTAGACTCCGTGCTACTAACGACAATTTAAAAAAAAAAACCAGTTATACTTTGCCCGACCCGGGGAATCGAGCCGTAGACCCTTTGCCAGTCAGTCGCACTTGCGACCACTCAACCAACGAGGCTGTCGCAATGGTTTCTTTGTAGAGAAAATATATAGTGGTTAGGCTAGGTATCTTCTCTGTTTCTCTTTAAATATTATTTAGTTAATATTTATTAAAAAATATTAAATTGCTAACATCTCAAATAGCTACAATTTTTAGGCTATTTAATTTTAAGTTTACAAAACAATTTGTTCTTTATCTTGATGCAAATAGAATATTAATTTATACATTTTGTTTTACCTTAATTATGGCCTATCCGCATTGAGCACGCGTGATAATTAATGCTCAAACCTTCTCCTTGTGAGAAGAGGCCTTTGGTCAGCAGTGGACACTTATGGGCTGTTGATGTGATTATGTGTTTTTCCTTAATTATATTGCTTGTATCAAGGATATCTACAGGACGACAGGTAGGAAGGTCATAAGCGTGGATGCTAGAAACCATGGAGACAGCAGACACGCTTCATAACATACTTATATAACTACATATGGCCCACGACGTAATGAAGCTGCTCAAGAAACTGGAGCTGTACACATCCATCCATTTCTATACCAAATATGAATTTCAACACTCAAATATGAGACCAAATCTCCAACAGCCGTCGGAAAACATAAGTCAGTCCCATCACAACCCAACCCTATCATCTTTACAAAGCCTAAGCTTCAAAACTGCGAATAATTTGTCGAACAGAATATTCGCTCAATCCAAACGCTTTTAGTGGGGGTCTACCCCCAACTCCCAACACCTCCCAGACCCCCTAAATGCCCCCTAATGGAGAGGGCGTATGACGTCAACACCACGCCCCGAGAGGTGGGGGCGAAATGCGCAGATACCGACACACACAAATATAGTATTAAAGAAGTTTTTTCATATACATGCATAGGTATTTTTTTAGTATATATGTACTCGTGTTTTCTTAATACATAATGTTGTGAAAGGAATTGTGATTTATCGTCTGATGAGAGGAGAGATCTGACACCTATTTTGTCTTCGACACTGTTTAATCACGTTACGTAATACCTACCTACGAACGCCTATATTATATTTTTCTTAGGGGCTTTAGTGGTATCTGTATAAAGGTATTTTTGCTCTACCTGTGAATGTAACCCAGATATTCGGACTTAGAAGGTGATGCTGGCTTTAGATCGTATTAAAGATTGCTCAGAAACATTTTAGGACTATATTGTAACTTTCGTGAGACATACTAGTTCCATCTTTTTTACTAATCACGGGGCCACAGGGTTCGGTCATTTGGGTGGCGTACGAAGGCCCGGAGCCAAGTGGGCAGAGGCCCTTTAAACCACTTTAATCTAAATGCAATAAGACACAAAACTGGTGACTGTTCCTGTATGCACTGAAGACTCAAGAGTAAAAAAACATAACATAAAATCAAGCCTTTTATTCCCCATCGGGTAGGCAGAGGTGCACATTACGGCACTTAATGCCACTGTACAATGTAACACCCACTTTTCACTAATTAATGTTATGAGTCCCATGTAATAAGGGGTGAACCTATTGCCATATACCGGGCACAATAATTCCAAACTCCGTGCTACTACTGAGATTTTTTGAAAAAGCCAAGTAATCCTTTGTCCGATCCGGGAATCGAACACAAGACCCCTTGCCCGGCACAATTGCGACCACTCGACCAACGAGGCAGAGTAAAAAAAAACACATTTGAAAAACTAATAATACACTAAATAAAAAACAGGAAAAAGGTAAAAATAAGTGAATAAGTGATATATTTTTATAAATAAGCCGCGTCCGCTAGATTGGCTGGTACTGTCAGCAGTTATCAGTTAAAACGTTTACCACTAAAGCTCGGCAATCTTATCGAGATTCGCTGAGTGCTTACAGAGTAGGGACATCATGCAGAGACTACAGGATACAAAATAAATCAATACTTTACTGTTTCAAATACACAATTAAATATCTAACATTCGACAAACTTATATTTGCATTTGGCACAGTAACTATGTCTAGGGAGTGAACCGCAAAATTAAGTTTGTTTTTATGTGTATATACTTTTTAGGGATAAAAAGTACTAAGTGATGTGCCTAGGATATTAAAACATAATCATACCAAGTTTCATTGTAATCGGACCGGTAGTTTTTGCGTTATGCGTGAACATACAGACAGACAGACAGACAGACAGAAAAAACTTTTAATCACATTTTTGGTTTCGGTGTCTATCTAGTAATAGCCCCAACTAGTTATTTTTTGAATGTACAGAATTTACACTAGTACAGTTCTATTACATGTATATATATATAGATAAAGATTGTTACTATCATTGTGATTTTATCTATTGTGAGCCATTCTAAATTGATTGAAAATAATGGTTTGTGGAAGGTCTATGCTCAGCACTGGACGTCTTCTGTCTTCTTCTTGATAAAGATAAGGTTTATTCTCGTAAATTACAGAGAAAAGCCAACTCATGAATATAAGAGTCCCTTTCTGATTCGAAACTAGTTGAGCTTTGCTCAATAGTTTACGAATTAATAGACTGCCTTGGAATAATAATAGAGTAGTCGCAAATGGGATAGACGGGCAAGGGATCTCGGGTTCGATTCCCGGGTCGAGCAAAGTACTATTGGAATTAAAAAAAAATATCAGTAGTAACACGGAGTCTGGAATGGTGCCTGGTATATGGGGCTATTACATGGGACTCGTAACATAAATAGTAAAAAGTGGGTGTTACATTATACAGTGGCATTAAGTGCCGTACTGTGTCTGCGGGAATAAAAGGCGTGATCGTTTTCAATCAATTATTCAATTGTTACTATCATATTGAGACCCTGAGAACCGACAGGGACGATGTTATGATAATTCTAAAGTCTGTACCTAAACAAAGAAAGTTTGCCTCAAATAGCCATCAGACCACCACAGATGGGGCCCAACAGGGCCGATGCCGATTCGGAGTCGCGGAGAACCTAACGGGTAACTGGGGCTCGACGTGCAGGAGAAGGAACGGTGTGGTTTTTAGTCAGTAAGGGTCTGACACTACCTCCCGTCTCGACCAGGCGAGAGCAGTCATTGGATGATTTTCCCCCCTTAAAAAAAAGCAAAGAAAGTTTGAAAGACTTTCTGTTTACATTTCAAATTGTAGGCATCGACGTTATAAACGAAAACGATTACAGACACCCACGCAATCGATTGATCACTCGCTTCTGTCAGCATAACGTCTTATAAAACGAGTGTACTCATGTATGTAGTTAATTGGCGAACAACGGATTTAAGGTTCAAAAGATAAGTACCTAAGTATTTTTGGAAAATGCTTTGGGATCAAGTTTTTAAATGATTAATTTCGTTTTTCTCATTTCAACTTTTTTATTTATCACTACATCAATACATAGTATAAAACAAAGTCGCTTTCGCTGTATGTCCGTATGTATGCTTAGATCTTTAAAACTACGCAACGGATTTTGATGCGGTTTTTTTTAATAGATAGAGTGATTCTTAAGGAAGGTTTGTATGTATAATACATGCATATTGCACCCGTGCGAAGCCGGGGCGGGTCGCTAGTAGTATAATAAAACAAAGTCGATATCCGCTGTCTGTCCCTATGTATGCTTAGATCTTTAAAATTACGCGACGGATTTTGATGCGGTTTTTTTTTTAATAGATAGAGTGATTCTTAAGGAAGGTTTATATGTATAATACATGCATATTGCACCCGTGCGAAGCCGGGGCGGGTTGCTAGTTTTTTATAAGATATTTCGGCAAATGTACAGACGAATCATCTGATGGTAAACAATCGCGCCGTCCATGGACACCCGCAACATTGGAGAAATTATAAATGCATTGCCGGCCTTTTGGAAGTTAGAGATTTGAGCATTGATGATTTGGGGATTGGGAAGGAGGTAATTAGGCCTCCAGTAACGTAAATCACACGACCAAACACAACGCAAGCGTTATTTCACGGTCGGTTTTCGGTGAAGCCGTGTATAACCCCGGTCGAGTCGGCCGAAGCAAGCGAGCAAATCATGATAGCTTGCATTACGTCTCTGCTATTCACACTACTCTGTGGCAACCACTTGAAAGCGTAATGGCGGACAACGGGAGCCAGGTTTATTAGGCAACATAAACTGCGACAAGTTATACAGCTGCATCAACTGTGAGTACCATTCATATTAATATTATAGTATAGTCTATTAAATTAATTTATGGGTAACAACTACAGTTGACCAATTACAATTAAATATTTCGAGGTAATTCTTTTAGATTACCTACATAGTTTTAATAGTAATGATATTGAATTTAATAGTTTTTTCGTTATAGAGGTATAGTTTTTGTTGTCTCCAATTAGACTGCATGTTCAGATATTTTGGAAACACTGAAGTATGTCACAAAATATATTTTTAACCTAATTTTAATGTCTGTACGTATATTTTATTTTGCGGTGGCTGGGCAACCTGCTGTTAAGCAAAGTGTTGCGGGTTCGATTCCCGCACGGAACAACTCTTTGTGTGGTCCACAGATTGTTGTTCCGGGTCTGGGTCTATCTGTATGTTTGTAAACGCACCCACGATACAAGAGAAAATCCTAGTGTGGGGAAACGTTTTATTTACAAAAAAATAATATTTTCTTACTATGTTACTTTGACTGCCTCGTTGGCCGAGTGGTCGCAAATGGGACTGCCGGGCAAGGGGTCTCGGGTTCGATTCCCGGGTCGAATTCCCGGGTTAAAAGTGGGTGTTACATTGTACAGTGGCATTAAGTGCCGTAATGTGCACCTCTGGCTACCCCTTCGGGGATAAAACACATGATGTTACGTTATACTTATCCTACGATGAATCCAAATTCCGACCACTTATTAGTCCATGCGGTAATAATGTCATAATACTGATATCTATTCAGTTTACTATCGTACATAGTAAATTGATACATACAGACGTACATACCTCTAGACATTTTCCTTCATCATTACGACTTTTGCACACTGGTGCTGAAAACTTACATTTGTAAACAAAAAATCGTTGTTAAACAGGTTGCCTGGTAGATATCGCTTTTATTTATTCGTATCAGGCAACGAATGCCCATATTATTATCCCCGTAGGCAGAGGTGCATATTACGGCACTTAATGCCACTGTACAATGTAACACCCACTTTTGACTATTTATGTTACGAGTCCCATGTAATAGGGGGTGAGCCTATTGCCATATTCTTCTTCTTCTCGTGCCACTTCATTCTCGAAGTTTGGACGTCAACTTTTTGAATTGGTCATTGTCATTGGCCACTCCCGAATATTGCGCAGCCACGACTTTTTCGCCCAGCGCTTCTCTTCCCTTCCACCTTACTCACTGCCATATACCGGGCACGATTCCAAACTATGTGCTACTACTGAGAATTTTTAAAAAGAAACCCCATAATATTTCGCCCGACCCGGGAATCAATCTGAGACCCCTTGCCTGGCAGTCGCACTATCACTCGGGAGTCCAAACGAAGTTTTATAAACATTTTTTACTTCAGTATGAGTGCATCCTTACTCACACTAGTACATAAAGCAAAGTATATAAGCACAGTTACATAACAGTACAGATCAATACCGGATGCTCCATCCCTGTCCCTCACACCTCTCTGTATGAAATATAAAGGCTCTATATAGCTGTCTCTGTCTAGCGCACTACAGTGTGTATAGATTTGCGCTCAGCAAAGTTTGAAGGTATAATTAAGGTTGTATGGGCGAAGGGGGTAGACAGATGAGGTGGTTAGTATTGATTATTGTATGTTGAGATGATAGGTTGGATTTTGATGGGCGTTTTGGATTATTGTGGCTTTATTGTTAACTAGGGTTTGATAATTATACCTAAGTAGGTCTGTAGGCTTGAAATTTTGTTTAGTTCTTGGCTTGTCCTCTGTTAGGCTCTGTACAACAGATACGTTCAATTACAAATTGGCAAATAATAAGTGTACACCGATGACGTGGTGGGCCAGAGTTATAAAACGCCCGCTGCGGGTTCGGAACCTACCAACGGCAAGTACCAATGTGACATTTTCCGAGTTATATGTACTTTCTAAAATTGTCTAGACACCACTGACTAACGGTGAAGGAAATCATCGTGAGAAAACTTGGGCTTATAATATCTATTTTTCTAATTATAAGTTTGTAATCGCCTACCCACTTTGAGCAAGTGTGGTGATTAATGCTCAAACCTTCTCCGTGTGAGAAGAGGCTTTGCTCAGCAGTGGGCATTTATAGGTTGATGATGATGATGATTGATGAGTTTTTGTTGGTAGTTAAAAATTACTTAAGAATGTAATTCTTCTTTTAATTAGTCCTTCAATAAATCAGAATGACTAGGTACTCTGAAAACCATTTCTGAGTTGTTGGAGCAGAGAAATATTTATTTAGTTTACTTATAGGTTTTCGTATCATACAAGAAGTACTAGGCACCAAAACATGTAATGGTAAAGTACTAAAATTTAATTACGCTTATCAAGTCTCAACATTGATGAGATAAATATGTCAATGTCAATCCGATATGAAACGCATTTGGTTTTTGCTAGAGATAACTAAATGGCACATTTTATACCATAACTCCAAAACATATCGATTAGGATCGATTTTAAAAAACTTTCCAAATACCTCTTTTTTCTATAATAACTATCGTGATATTTTTTATAATTAACTAAACATCGCAGGTCAGTAGGCTGCGCGACATCGCCGCGACCATCTGCTCATGAGGAAGAACCCCTCTGTGGTTCGAAACTAGTAGAGCTCAGTATTTACACGTGAGTAACCCGCGATTTTTTGTTGATTTACTTCCTTTTTGTTCTTAATTCGACCGGTATATTTTTTATACGTATGTACAACTATAGGCCGAGGTTTTTTGTACGATTTACGTGATTCTTTCTTGTTCGACTTGGAATAGTGGTTCGACATGTGAGTTGTCCAGAGATAGATGCAGACATTTTGGATTAAGAATTATTATTAATTTTGATCGTTTAACATGTTCTAAACCAGCATGCTAAAAGACGTTTTATTGAGCACTAGCTTTTACCCGCTCGCGTCACAAAAGAATAAAAAGTGGCCTATGTGACTATCCATCTCTTCAACTACCTTCAGTTAAAAAATCACGTTAATTAGGACCTCCGTTCTGCCGTTTAAGACAGGCAAACAAACAAATAGCTTTCCGCTCGCGTGGGATTCGGTTATATCGCGCTATTTAGATTTTTCCAATAAGTAGGTAATTCGTTGTCTGGTTTTAAATGACACACAGCGCCATCTATACCAATATTTTTGTTTTCCCTTGGAAATATCCAATTTTCCGAGATAAAAAGTATCCTATTATTTCATAGTATGTTGCTTCAGGTGTGTCTTTACATTATTCTCACATGTGTGTACAGTATTGGAATATGTATCAGAGCAATGTAAAACAGACTTTTTTTTAAAAGAGTAACGAATGGAGTTTCTTGCTCGTTCTTCTCCACTCGAATCGACATTTTGGAACGAGCGCCTAGCTTCACTGACGGACAGACTGACAGACTATTATATATCTCATATTTGTTGACGTTTCAAAAGTACCAAATTATGGTTTAATTGAAATAAATGCTTTTGAGTTTGAGTTTGAGTTCATCCAAAATTTTAATAATACAGAAAAGTTTTCAAACGTTTCTTTTTTAATCTTATTTTGTTTATCTTCATGTTATACTAACGACTCGCCCCGGCTTCACACGGGTGCAATATGCTTGTATTATGCATATAAGCCTTCCATAAGAATCACTCTATTTATTTAAAAAAACGCATTAAAATCCATTGCGTCGTTTTAAAGATCTAAGCATACATAGGGACAGACAGACTGCGAATAGCGACTTTGTTTTATACTATTACTAGCGACCCGCCCCGGCTTCGCACGTGTGCAATATGCATGTATTATACATACAAACCTTCCTTAAGAATCACTCTATCTATTTAAAAAAAACCGCATCAAAATCCGTTGCGTAGTTTTAAAGATCTAAGCATACATACGAAAACGACTTTGTTTTATACTATGTATTGATTATCATATAGTTTGTAAAATCAACTGCACGCATTTTTACTTCGCAAGAAACGCGCATTTTAATCTCACTTGACTAGCCTGATCTTTTCATTACAAAGATAATAACAAAAGACGATTTCCTTTTAAATATCTAGGTCGTAAGACAAAGCATTGGAATTGAAAAACTTAACTGAACCGTAACTTTAATCTCAGCAAAAACTAACTTAAAAAACCTTTTGCTTTCAGATGATAAAAATGAAAATATTCACCCTCGTACTGGGCGTGATCATTATAGGGGTAGCAGAGATCTCAGCCGACGAATCAGAGAGCACCTCCCCCGATGACGGACCAATCGCATCGCAAGAAAATAATGTTGAACAGAGACGGGTAGATGTTCCCGAGGTGGTTTTACAATTGAAATATGATAAAGGGGAACTGAATAGGATATATTTGACGCAGTTCCGAAAGGATTCGAAAGCGTGGGTGCCCTCAGTGTCTGCCCGAAGCAACTTGTGTGCGGACTTGTGCCACGCAGGTTGTTACTTGGCTGTATAGCTTGTGTCCTTTGCCTCGTAAAAAGCGCGCGGTTTGTTTACGCGGCACGCGGCCATGTTGGTTTTCGTTATGTGACGTTTCGTGTCTGTGTGTGTGTGTTTATTTATTTTATTTGGTTATTTTCTGTGTTTTTGTTGGTGTGATGGGTTTTGAGAGGTAAGTACTGATTTTTGTTAATTGTTGTCTCATTTTTTTATTAAATCAGTTTCTAGATAATATTTTAACGAGTAAACGACAGTTATTTTAAATGATTCGGACTGCGAGCCTAGGTTCGTGGTATGACAAAATTTAACTCCACTGTAATTATTAGACCGGAATTCAAACCATAACCAAATTCAAAGAGAAAATAAGTTTGCTCTGGGAGAAGAAAGATCTGGTTCTAAATAAGTTAAAAAAAAAACAATGAGGCATTTTCACGTCAAGGTTACACTTGAGTCTAACCAGCTCCTGTGTCTTAGTATTATACCTACATGTAGCGCCTGAGGTGTGTCATCCACAACCCTATAAGTGAGACACCTTCTTGGTTGTCCTCGTAGGCTATTGTCATTTTCAGACTTCTTATAAGCAATTATGACGCTTGTACATGTTTGTATGATAACTCAGACCGATGGCTTACCCTGCTCTCCAAGCCACGTGGTTAATATCTAGACTTCGAGCTACATAGGTAGTGATTTTATTAAAATAATAGCAGCAATCCACAACACGCGACGCGGCGACTGTCGCATTGCTCATGAATATGAGCCTCTAGAATGGTCAAATCAAAGTCAAAGCATTTATTTCAATTAAACCATAATTTAATACTTTTGAAACGTCAACAAATATGAAATAAATAATAAATCTGTCAGTCAGTCCATCAATGAAGCTGGGTGCTCATTCCAAAATGTAGAGAACGAGCAAGAAACTCCATTCGTTACTCTTTTTTAAAAAAGTATGTTCTACAATGTCTCTGATACATATTCCAATACTGTACGTATATGTGAGAACAATGCAAAGACACGCTTGACGCATTATAGGTACTAATTACAAACCTTACTAAAAAATAAAAAAATCTTATGGTCTAACATGGTGCTCACATATGCATATGAATATGGCTTGAAACTAGTCGAGTTCCTCGTTAAATAGTTACGTAAATAACCCGAAAACATAATGATTAAAGCAGCTTTTGCTAATTCAACTTATCATTGCCAAGAATGCCAAAATCGAAAATAAACCCCCTACCTACCTACTCTACACCTCTAGGTATTTAATTTGAGAACCGAATACCCTTGTTCTATAGCAGTGGTGGACTTTTTGTGGCCGTGGACCGCAAAAAGTCTACAGAAGACAAAATATAGAATGTGAAATGAAAAAAAAACAACACCCTTTCTCATAAACACCACAGGTAAAGCTAGAATGAAAGTTATTTCAAAGGAGACAACTGAAAGAAGCAACTGATTTCAATAATCCAAGTCACTATTCTTATGAGAACGAACCGAACGAAGAAGAAAATGTTAGTTAGAAAATGTTTTGGATGATATGGGGGGTAGGGGAGTCTAGATGATAATTACGTCATCGGTAGTTATTTACTTTTTTACACGAATGACAACCCTCATATTCAAATTATATAAATTACAAGCAAAGACCGACAAAGAACTAGACATTATGGTATCTAAGAGAATATTAAAATTACAATATAAAAAAGACATAATTTAAAATATTTACGTAGGCAAAAGGGGAGGGGGTAAGATCTTTGCTTACTTTTGCTGACAAGGGGAATGGGGGGGGGGGTAAAAAATTATAAAAAATCTGCTAACGTAATATTTGAACGACCCCTTACCTCATTGAAAAAGTAATAGTAAATGTGGTCCCTAACCTAACGGAGAACCTAATGGGTAACCGGGGCTCCGGCTCGATGTGCAGGAGAAGAAACGGGGTGATTTTTAGTCAGTAAGAGTCTGACACTCCCTCCCGCCTCACCCAAGTGGGAGCAGTCATTCGATGATTTTCCCCCCTTAAAAAAACAAACCCAACAAGAATGATGAACAGAGGCCCTTGATCAAGCAAAGGTTTGGAACCCCTGCTCGTCATTTTCATTTCGTTTATTCATTGTTTTTTCTTTATATTTGATGGGCCGACGTTTGACCACTATCTCGCGTGGTGGTAAGCGATGATGTGGCCTACGATGAAGCACGTCTGCCCATAAGCAACCTATTCACTCGGGCCTTGAACCACCCACCACACACAGCAGTACGCACAAGGAAGCTTGATGCGAAGCGCTTCGTACGTGGATGGGACATCTACCATGAATCGGTGACGCTACGCCGATTGCCTTGTGCTACGATGATGGAAAGGATTAGGGGGAATGAAGCAATTGTATCTAAATCTCATTAATCAATTTACATATTATCTGAATGTCTTCATAATCATAAATTACATTGCAATATAAATCACATAAAAAAAACATTTACAAAATACATAAAAGAATAATTAAAATAATCTCAATAGCCACGTTTTACCGGCCACTTATCCATTTTGAATAGTGTTAATAAAATAGTCTACTACACCATTATCACCCACTTAAACTGAGAAACAAAGAACTATAAAAAATACTGCATTATAGAAGCATTACGTGGCCTATTTAATTATACCTCTATGTACACAAAGCACCGCTAATTAGTTCGTAACGCTCACATCGACACTACTGTCATTTACACAATGTACATGTGTGGGTAATTTCATATTACTGTGTACAAAAATATTCGTCCACCACGTTCACATTGGTATTTTCATTCTTGTGTCGGTATACGTATTTTTATAATTTAATGCATGGGTAAGGTTAACTATTTACAATCATTGATATGACCCGACATTTTCACTGTAATTATCGTAGTGCTCGTGGTCGATTGGTTAATTAGTACGCTTTTATCGTCTTTCAAGGATCAATGATGATGTGGGTTCTATTCCAGCTAAAAGTTTTTTTTTTATTTTACCTTGTTGTTTTTCTTATTTATTTTTTTTTGTTTTTTGTCATATAATATAAATATCAAGCTATAAAAGAAGCAAATCAGTCGGTAAATAAAACAATACTATTTTTTATTAAAATTAATTTATTAATTATACAAATATGTGGTTTTATATTCAATATTTATATCTAATAATTAATTATATACCACATGTTAACTTTAAAGTTCTTCCAATCATTCTAAATTATTCTAAATAATAAATAACTAGAACTAAAATATAAATAAAGGATATTATAGGTATAAATAAATCTAAAGTATTTACTATTAAAATTAACATAAGATTTAGAAAAATAGGATAGGAAAAAAAGAAAAGATTTAATTGTTTCTAATTTCACATTTCAAATATTTGATTAATTAATACTAAAACAACATGTGAATGCTGGAATCGATCCGGTGGCACTTTACTTGACCACTGGAGGCGATAACCATTGCGCCAAGCGCGCCGTAGATGAGAACATCGAAATATTGTATATCATTCAGTAACATAAAAATACAATGAGAATGCACTATATTTATATAAGTATTGTATTGCCCGATCGTTCATTATTTTTGATTTCGATTTATTCAAAGTTTGTTATGAGTATTTTTATCTTTACCCTCGTTTTTATTTAAACTTATTTACTAAAATATTACGTATACCGACACAAAAATGATATGTAATACCAAGATGTGTGTGATAGAACGAATGTTTCTATACATATCTATTAATATGAAATTACCCACACATGTTCACTGTGTAAATGATAGTAATGTCGATGTGTAGCGCCTCGAACTAATTAGCGGTGCTTTGTGTACATTGTCAACACAATCCCATGATTACTTTACAATAGGGTAGGTGACTAATTTTTATTTTAATATCCGTCTGATAGGTTATTTAAAAACATTAGACACGTCTTTTTAATTTTTTGACAGAATCGTATAGTTTCGAAGATATATTGATTTGAAATGTGGCTTGACGTCACTTCTATGAAAAAACATTTTATACGTAGAAATGACGTTTTAGCCCCTACTCCTAAACTTTGATTCGTTATATCTAAGTATCATTTTATTATACATCAAAATAAAAAAAAATACGTGTCATATATTTTTCCATTACCTAACTGACGGACTAATTACATTTTTAATTTTCATACCCTGTCATCATCCGTATTCTAAATTCAATTAGGGCCTCGGTCTCAATGATTTAGTTAGTCGCAAGTACCGCTGCTGAACCAGAGGTATTGGGTTAACTAAAAATCGCAGGTTACTCACGTGTATATAATTACTAACTAACCACAGAAGGGCAAATGTGTTAAAACTTTTTTATTCCATTTTTCTGTATAATTTGTACGTCGTAATGCCTGAACCTATAAGTCGTGGTGGCCCGAAGGTTTAAGACGCCCGCTTACCATGCATGAGGGTGTGGGTTCTAAACCTATCAACGGCAAGTTCCAATGCGAATTTTTCCGAGTTATATGTACTTTCTAAGATTATCTAGACACCACTGACAAACGGTGAAGGATAACATCGTGAGGAAACCTGGGCTTATAATTCCGAATTATAAGTTTGAAATCGCCAACCCGCATTGAGTAAGCGTGGTGATTAATGCTCAAACCTTCTCCGTGTGAGAAGAGGCTTTGCTCAGCAGTGGACACTTATAGGCTGTTGATATGTGTATAATGGCTGATCCTGACTGTACATATTTCTTCTATAATATCTTACGTGCATTCTGTACGTAACACTCATGTTAAAAAACTAAAAGACCTTTACCTCTCAATCTCTTTATCGACACAAAGAAACTAAATAAAATAAAACCGTTTGAAGAAAAAAACAATTTAGTATTTGCATAATAAAAAACAACAATCAATTTGTCAGACACGTGCATCGAATCCAGAAGCTCAGTGTCAAGATTGCATTAAAATCAAAAACTCGTTTGATATATAAGCGATCAGCTGATGCCGTCATAGGATGCGATGACAGTCACGTGTGACTATTAAATACAAGTGTCATAGTATCATAAACTATGGTTCTTGACCGGTTTGATGACATTTGTATTAGATTGGTTTTAAGTGTGGGAGAGTCATGCTTCGATTGACCGGACTGATACCACGGCCTTACAGAAAACCGAATGAATGAACGCATGCGTTGTGTTTCATCGTGCGAGTGAGGTTACCAAAGGCCCTCCCCCTCATTAATCTCCGATCTCAGCAATCCCTGGATCCCCAACAATCCTCAAATTCCTAATCCCTAAAACTCCGGTAACTTGTAACGCCTCTGGTGTTCCAGGTGTCCATGGGTGACGCCGATCGCTTACCATTAAGTGATTCGTCAGCTCGTTTACCGGCTTATGCCATAAAAAAATTACACTTGGGAGCAAAAAACTGGGGCCACTTTTTCTTTTTTTTTGACTGGGGAAAATTTCTTTCTCCTGCCCGAGTGCGGCGAGAGAGTGTTAGACTATTACTGACTAAAAACCACCCCGTTCCTACTCCTGCACTTCGAGGCGGAGTCCCAGTAACCCGTTTAGTCCTCCGCGGCTCCGTATTCGCATCAGCCCTATTGGGCCCCATCCGTAGTGGCCTGAAGGCTCTTTAAGGCGCGCGTGAACGCGACGCGCCGTACGCTCGGACCTGTTTCTGATCGGATAGCGAGCTACTCCTGTTCGCCAACCGGGTTTTCTCTTATTCATTCACGATATATATTTTCTGATACATTTTCTTTAGTTATTTGGTAAAGTATCTCGTATAAACGGCAACTCAGTTACCTTTAAAATGCGAGCATTTTGTTGTAAAAGGAATATTTTTATCTCTAGTGGCGTCCGTTCTTTGCTCTTGGTAATTCGTAATCTTTACATTCATTCGGTAGTACATATTTATAAATTCTTGGTTTATATTTATACAAAAATGGCAATGCTTAACAATATGTTTTTGAAAAAGACTAACGATGGAGTTTCTTGTTCGTTCTTCTCTATTCGAATTTATATTTTGGAACGAGCGCCTAGCTTCATTTATGATGTCCGTCACATGACACGAACTGTGCTATCTTCGACGTTTTAACAGTGAAAGTTAAATAAATAAACTTAGCCGATTGTATCATTCAAGTCGATCTTCAGTATTTATCGTTAGGTAATGTAATTTATTATTTTTGATATCTAAAACACTTAATTTCTCTCTAGGACTTGGTGGAGAGGCCTGTGGAGTGAGCATCTGTTCCCAGCTGATCCCCATAGGGCTGCAGACGGCTCTAAGAGACGCAAACCGGAGTGACGTCACCTACGGAGTACCACGATACAATGTCTGCCCTTCATTGTGCCAGAATCAACTTGGTAAGACATTTGTTAAAAGCTTTCTTATGGTATAGGTCGGCGAAGCAGCAGAAGGATCACCTGATGGTAAGCAAAGCGCCGCCAATGGACACTTGCAACATAAAGGAGTTACTACTGTGTGTTGCTGGCATTTGGTTCAGATATTTTGAAAATTTCAACTTAAAGCAAGACGCATGTAATGCCCCAAGTGTTGCAAGCGGTCATAGGCCACGGTAACTGCTTACCATCATGTGGGCTGTGTGCATTTTTTGCCACCGACGTAGTATTAAAAAGAACTTTTAGATATGTTTTTTTGATAACTATCGTGAGACATACTAAATTAATTAAAATCGGGGGTTACTCACGTGAATATTCTGAGAAAAGCTCTATTATTTTCGAACCATTGAGTGAGCTCACTCACTGACTGAGCTGCGCGACGTCGCCGCGACCGCGCACGCTGCTCATGAAGAAGAACCCCTCTATGGTTCGAAACTAGTAGAGCTTTTCTCAGTATATTCACGTAAGTAACCCCCGATTTTAGTTAACTTTTAGATACATATTGAAAAGACGACAAGACCAGTGAATGAAAGTGTGATTATTTTTAAATACCTTCTGTACCTTTATTGCAGAAATATTCTTTTTTATGATTGAGGAAAATACTTAACTTTTAATTTTAGAATTGACATCACGCGTCGTCACGTGATTTTAGTTTTTATGAGTTATATCTTATTTAACTGGTTTCCTCAATAGCATTAAATGTAGACGATATAGTTTTGAGCCTGTGTTTTATATCATACTTTCCTGTTGACCTTTAATAGTATAAAAAACGCATATTATCAAAAAAACGCTATGTTAATTATGTTTGGAGGCAAATATGATGAAATATTACACAAATAAACTGATTTTTGGTATTTGGGAAGCCCGACTGTGAGACTTAAACGTGATGAAAAGCCATTATTTTGTATATAACAGACTCAGACAACTTGCTTACAGACGACAAATAACGAGTTACCCATGTAAATTTATTTATTTATTTATTTATAATTCATGGAGGACTTACAGCATATAAAAATGGATAAAAATAACAATAGGCGTAAGTAACAGTGAGCCAATAACAAGGCCTCACGTTTAACATTTGAAATAAATTAATTAATATGGTGTGAGTACTAGTTATACAATATTAAAAATACATACATTCTGCGTAAATGAAAAAAATAAATATTGAAATAGACCGTACAGACAATATGATTATGAACAGATCAAGAGAAACGATTAAAAAAACTAAAGATCTAGTGCTGCTTAAAAAATGTGAGGCACCTCTTTGCCGAGTTCACACTAGTTGTAAACGGATCGAAGTCATATTCCTTACAAACATTGTTAAAGTGTCTGCTTGCACGCATACTGTAACTGTTCTGCCTGTAGTTAGATGAGGAACGGGATACATGTAAAGGTGGATTAAATGTACAGAGAAAAGCTCTACTGGTAATTTTTAACCGACCTAAAAAAGGAGGAGGTTATACGTTCGGCCGGTATGTTGCTTTTTAGTTAACTAATTTAAAATAAAATAAAAAATGTTTATTGTACAAAATTTTACAATATTACATGAACGAGTGTGAATTACGATCAATACTGACACTGCCCTCCAAACTAAGCTATATGCTTGTATTTTGGAAAACAGTGATTCAGACGTGGAGTATATCACAAAGTCGCATTATACATATATCGCTCAATAATGAAGTGAATGTCATGAAAGTGAATCATTGAAGTGAATGGAACTGTAATTCAAAAATTCAAAATTCTTTTATTCACATTTAAATAGAGTCATTACATTTGATGGTTTTTATGTTACATCCTTTGTTCTTATAGTCTATTTAGCCTGCTTAGGGCATGTGAAGTTAAGTACATTTATAAAAGGAAAGGAATGGTTGTATATTATCCTTATCCTTACTAATATTATAAATCAGAAAGTGAGTTTGTTTGTTTGTTTGTTCCACTTTCACGCCGTAACTAGGTACTAAACCGATTGCTTTGAAATTTTGCAGACGTAAAGTTAGAAGTCTGAAATAAATAATAGGGTACTTTTTATCCCGGAAAAATTTGATATTCTCGAGGGAACAAAAATATTGGTATAGATGGCGCTGTGTGTATTGGTATATGTCACATAGGCTACTTTTTATCCTTTTGTGACGCGAGCGAAGCCGCGGGTAAAAGCTAGTAATCAATAATAATACAATTCAATAACATTCACAATATAATTCAATTAAATTCGAGTCGGAGTCCAATACAAATGTATGTAATGTAATCAAAAACATGTCTCAAGATAGTTATTACAAGAACATAGTTAATAATGTTGATAACAACAAACAGGGGCCCCACTATGCAACTGTAAACCGCCCACGAAGGAGCACGACCATGCCGTCAACTGGAGCGAGGTGTGCGCGGCTTTCTGCTACGACGGTTACACACTTAATGGTGAGTGTCAGTAATACTTAATGATCTATTTTAAACTGTCAAACACCGCGACGTCACCGGTGACCGCAACCTATTGTTCTATAATTGTGTCTATAATGACGGTACTCGACTAGTTAACTGACACATAATACCAACATAACATCAAGCCTTTTAGTTGTTGCGAGTTGTTCCTAGGTTAGCCTAGTTATTTCTAGGTTTAAAAAAAAACTCAGTAGTAGCACGGAGTCTGGAATTGTGCCCGGTATATGGCAATAGGCTCTCCCGCTATTACATGGGACTCATAATATAAATTGTGAAAAGTGGGTGTTACATTGTACAGTGGCATTAAGTGCTATAAGGTGCACCTCTACGTACCTCTTTGGGTATAAAAGGCGTGATGTTCTGTAATGTTATGTTAACAATACTTTTAGTTTAATTTCACCCCAACTGTACAGGTTGTCCAACCTGCGAATCATCAAGCACAGAGGCTACAGTGAGCTTGCAATCATCACGGGTCCTTTCGACCTATGAGGGGTGGGCAGCATGGTGCAACGTGCAATGCAGGCAGGGCCAGGGTGGCGCCGCCTGCAACTGCGACCGGACCCCGTTCCAGTAACCAAATACGAAGAAAACACCACAAATAATAAACAACAAGATCGTATGTATAACTTAAAAAAAATATGTGTAAATTACTGATTTTAACTTTCTGAAAAACTGTACCTACATACCAAGTCAATCTTCTTTTAACCTGGATACCATATTATTGGCTGACTGTACCCATGTATTATATTAAATATCACAAATAATAGACAACAAGATCGAATATGTATAATTTAAAAAAAATGTACTGGGTGAGTCTCGACATTTGTAGCGACAAAATTCGATCGTTAAGTTGCGATTTTTTTTATTTTACAATACCTATGTGTTTGTACAGTTTAATATCTAATAATGGAATCTGTGGCTTAGTAATCGTTTTGTCGTAATTATTGTCGAGACTTTTAGCTTAGAACATCATTTCAAAGAATCAGTCGGGTATTAAGTAAAAAAATGCCCCTTAATGTTACAAAATGTATTGGAACAAGATCGTTTATTGTATGGTCGTTAGATATATTGGAAATGCCACAAAAGCTAGTCAACAAGATTCGTTAATTCTATTTCTACTATTTTTGGTTTCATAAATTTTACATTTATGCAACATAAAATGGCAATATGGTATGTATGATTCGTTATATATTACACAGGTATTATTTATTTATAATATAGCTTAAAGCCGATTTAAACATGTATATTCAGAAGAGAAGGGATACGGGAATAGTACGGAGAACAGCAGAATAACCTACTCGAATTTGTCAAGTTCATTCATTGGACTATCGACTTTATGTCTGTACAACAAAGTTGGAGTTGTAATAAAGACATTTGACAGAATAGGATAGATTGATTTGCCGGCCAATATTTGATCGTACAATGAAAAGTGATCTAGTTTTACAAATGTACCTAAATCAGTTATTAATTCATTATTCCTTGTCGAAGGTTTTAATAGGATTGAAATTAAATTTTCGTTGATTCGTTTAAATGAATGTATTTATCAAGTTTAAAAATTAATACACATTATAAAATATAATTTAAATATTGTGCACCGTAATAATTATCTATAATTAATCGTCATAATAATACTATTATTATAAGAATTTAATCTTAATATACCTTTCATATTAAAATTAAAAAGTACATGGCTGAGAAAAATATTAGATAATAAGCGTTTAATATTGTTTTCAATTATTAAAATTCATTTAATTCTAAGTACTGTTTAATCAACGTATATTTTAAGGTATAATTATTACTTACATTTAATCATTAAATAATAATAATTGTAACTATAATAATAAGAAATGAAAAATCTGCGCGCAAGACAATACTACGAGTAATATTTAAATGTAAAATTCCATTTAATGTGATTTACTTTCATTTCGTTATTAAAGTTTATTTTTCATTTATTTTGGTTTTTTATTGTTTTGTTCATTTATTTCACCTTTTAATTTGGAACCTACCAGTCAATTATTGATTTGACTCCCTAAATTTTTCAATTTTAATAATTCGTGTTATTAAAAAATAGTAAAAGAATGTGTAGCTTTATGTCGTGTAGTGAGTGTCGTGAAATTGTGTGTGGTATTGCAGAAAGGCGATTTTAATCAATGAAATTCTACTTATATAAAATGTCAAGATTCGTTTGTTTAAATGAATGTAAAAATATATTAAATACAAATCATGTCTTGAAATATTTAACCTACGAGGATATAAATAATAATTTTAGTCCACAGAACTTCATAGATACACAAGTACACACGATTAAAATCACTTTCTGAATATATTTTTGTTATTTTCGTAAATAAGATTAAATAAAAAAACTGTATACATCTAATAAAAGTAAAATAGCCAGCAAAACTAGCCTAATATAGTAATAAGATTTTACAATTTATTGGCGTAATAAAATAATTAAATTCCGCTGAGGCCAACAAACCTGATTTATATGTAAATAGTGCACTAAAATAATAGTATATATAAATAGCGAAATGCAGAAATTTACCATTTCTATTATAAGAATTTCCGTATTTAGCAGTTTGAGAATTAATGCATCGTAAAAGTAATTTTAAATTCAAAATAGTTTACAAAAAATACATAATTCTAAATTCGTAAATAGATTTTTGTTTTTGCAAAAAATAAATGTGTGTGACTCATCGACTTTCGATTCAATAATATCTATCATAAAAATTATATTTCTAAACAGGTTTCCATGACATAAAGTCGAAAATCTCGACATTATACGAGATCAATTACTTCATCACTAAGATAGCAGTTTTTGTTGCAATCTATTAGACAAAGTCACGACTTAACGACTGAATTTTGTCCTATCAATGTCGAGACTATTTTTTAATTCTTCATCCTTTAACTTTTTCATTTAAGTTTCAAATCATAATAATAACTAAAAAGGACTAAAACTACAACTTACCTTTCCGAATCGAAATTTAAAAGGCAGAATTGACGACAACGACATTGTCAGAATTCCAATTTACAGCACAAAAAAGAAAGTTTTTAAAAAACAATCACTATAAACCTCTAATCACAGATAACAAATTTTAAAAAAAATTTTGAACACTTGAATTTAAAAAAAAATAAAATTGCCTTTAAACGCGTATTTCTATTTAATAGTTCAGTAAAACAGTGTTGGCAGAAAAAGGTAATAAACTAAAAGAACTATAGACTATTGTTCTTATTCTTGATATCGTAGCATCATAAAGGCACCTATTCACTGCCTTTTCTTTATTTCACAATGATAAGAGTAATCACTAAGGCATTATAAACGTCTATACTTATAGACATGAAATACACACTCTTGAAAAAAACATTTGACAATATTTTTTATATAATTTGGTAAATATAATTAATCTAAAATTAAGTCGACATACTTTATTCGAATAACCTCCAAAAAAAAAATTTAAAAACTTTTAAAAAACAAGCTTCTATACGGTTTGGTATTATTTATTATTATGCAAACTAAACGTGCATACAGTATTTCAGCTCAATCGGTTGAAGATATCTGTTTCAAAATTCAATTGCAAGATTCCACTTTCAAACACACATATGTACAATCAAAGGTCAAAAGTCCACTGCCACCGTGAATGATGTTTACACGGCAATGCGTAAGTAATTTCATATCAATGTACATAAAAACGCGTGCGCACGCATAAACACACACAACCGTACGTGTACGTGTGTGTATAAGCGCTGCAGCGCAACCGATACTAGTGTTACAGTGGCAGTGGACTTTTGACCTTTGACCGTATAAACATTGCAAGTTAAATATAATCTAGGAAAGCTATAATAAAAAATAATTTATTGGCTGTATTTATAGAGGTAAATGAAAAATTGTAAGTACTTTCCAATCTGCCTACTAGATAGTTATGTAGTTAACAGATATTCTAACACGTATCATAAAATAATAAGTTAATAATAAGCTAAATATAAACTATTAATACTTAACTAGATTGTAAAGTATATCTGTGCGAATGAATGTATGTATGTATGGTACGATTACAGATCTATTATATGTCTTGGACACCACATTTCTTCGTCACGTCATTTTATTGTGCAAATTGTTTTAAGGGGAATGGCTTCCTGAAATTTGTTACATAATAATTCAATACATGTCCAGTCGTCATGACTCTAGTGTTCTCTCTAGACATAAAATAGTTCTAAAGATCTTGTAAGTGACGTTAAAATATGTATGACGCATGGATGGAGTTGTGTTGAATGCAAGCAAGCAATATAAAAATGTCGTATAAATAATTTTGGTCAACTATAACAATGAAATCTATGTATCATCATCAACAGCTTATAAATACCCACTGCTGAGCAAAGCCTCTTCTCACACGGAGAAGGTTTGAGCATTAATCACCATGCTTGTTCAATTCGGGTGGGCGATTTCAAACTTATAATTAGAAATTATAAGCTCAGGTTTCCTCACGATGTTTTCCTTCACCGTTGGTCAGTGGTGTCTAAATAATCTTAAAAATCTACGTATAAAAATTAGCAATTGTGTCCTTGTCAACTGGTCAAATTCAATACTTTTTTCGAACTGTCAAAAACGACGGTTTTCTATCAATTTGCCCCTCATTAGGATTTTCTCCTGTGTCGTGGGTGCGTTTACAAACATACAAGTTCACATACACATGACACCCAGACCCGCGAGACGTTTCACGGCAGTCGGTTGCCCAGCCACCGCGCCAACAGTGCAATCAATTGGTCTGCAGTCAAAAATCAAAAAAACATATTGAACAGTCGAAATAATTTATTTTTCAATGGAAAGTACCCAATTTCATTTGAATAGGTGTCCATATCTATGACGAACTTAAGTCTAGACTTCAGTCATATGGTCTATATATCTATTGGATAAGAAGTAAACTTCTCTATTGTATATTTTTATTGTAGCGTAGCATAAATTGTTGCTTGCATTCAATGTGATGTGTGTATGTGTGTATGTGTGAGTTGGAACGTGAATGCCTGGTATATAAGAAAAAGAAATCCCAATGTGAACCAGATTTAACTAGTTTCATAATGGCCAGTTTCGTTTTTTAGAGGTATATGTCGACGAACGATGGCCACTGTATCTGAGGAAGAGAGGCCTGAGGACAAAGACTCGGGTGATATTCACTCCTTAGCGGTTCGCAAAAGGAAGCACGAACCACTTCGTGCGACTAGGGTACTCGTCAGGTGGTGATTGTCCCGGTGGCCTGCAGTTCAATTTGATAATTGATCTCGCTGATTTCATTTACAGCTAAATAACAGAAGATGGATTTGTAATACAATGGCTAAAAACTTAAAGCCTGTGAAAATACAATCTAAAAGTAAATTCCATGAGATATTTCGATTGAAACAGTTATAAAATAACTACTAACATTTATTATTATAAATCCAAATGTAATAAAGAAGGCTTAATAAAAAAGGACCTTATTTTTTTTTCTTCTTTTACTACCGAGTCTCCAAAACGGTGTTGTCGACTATACTGCCAGTGTCGAGTGGTGAGGACCTTATTTTCTACAAATTTCAATACTATGGTATTAATTGTCAAAAGAAGAATGTATGGAGTTAAAAAAATGAATGTAAGTGAATGTATGGGAGCGCAAGAGGACGTGTGTACGCGAATGTATGAGTGTTTAGTTATAGTTCAACCAAGAATAATCGCGACAAACAATATCACAAAGGTCTTCCATTAATTAAGAAGTAACTTGTAAATAATTTAGTTTAATATTAATTCGGGAGTAAGAAAAATATTATAGTTAGGTAGATACCTAAGTCAGAGAAAATATTATATTTTTTTGAAATTACGTGTTTATACTATGATAAACTCGTTATTGTTAGATTTAAGATAAATTACGTTAAAATAATCGAATAGATATAATATACTCAGAAAATCTACAATTTATAAAAACTTATTTCAAAATATTCCAACCCAGTTATTTATTTCATGTGTTTTGTTTTTACTTTTCCCGATTTATCAATGTTTATTATTTTGATATTTATTACTTTTAATAATCAATGTTTTTGTGTAAAAAATTTTTTATTGTTCTCTAAAAATTATAAAAAAAATTGAGTACCGATAGGTATTGTACTCAATGGTATTCTTTAAAAAGGTACTATTAGTTTTTCAAAATATGATATTAATGCTTACATTTAAGTAGGTAATAAGATCAAAAGCCTGCTTTACAGTGTCTTATTAAATTACTATCAATGCTAACTGACATAGGTATTTATTGCATAATACATCCAAAATACATCCTGTCAGTTACAAAAATACAATACAAACAGTTACAAAATACAATAACAAAAATTTTCAAAAGTTAGACATTGTAAAACAGGCTTTAGATATAAAAAAAAAACATAAATTAAAAGCGCGCTTTATGTACATACAATATGAAATGTAACGCACAATTTGTTTAGTAAATTGATAGAAAAACTGTAATCTCAAATAACGTTAAGTTTAATGTTAAGTAGTTATTCATATAAATACTTTCAATTGAAATCTAAATGCTTATATCTACGATTTTTAAACAGAAATAGGTAATGAATGAAT